GTCTTTATACGCGATCCGACTTTGCAGCCGTTCTTCCCGTCGTCACGCTATACGCGTTGCATGACGAACCAACAAAAACAACAACAACAACAACAAGCTATTCAGTTTCTCAGGAAGAAACAGTGTTTCGTTTCCGGAAAGGTGTGCAAAGTCTGAGAAAGGCCGGGGTTTTGATATCTTGTGCTTGAGAAGTCCTGTGGTGAGGGGGATGTGTGTTAATGCACCGCCTTGCACCGCACTGATGTACTCAGTTGCCAGGGCCTGGGGTTTTTCGTCCAGGTGAGGTTTAGTACTGAACTTAGTGTAAAAGAGAAGGGGCTAATTAATTTAAGTTGACCACACATGTATCAGTTATTACAGTCAACGCGCTTCGAAATGTATCTACTTGTGATACTTCACTTTGACTCTGCCCTAGGGAAGGTGGGGGGAGGTGCTCCATTATATCGGCTATATAGGTATGACCAGCGTCAGAGGGACGTTTTTTTAAGACATTTTAGTCAGAAGTGGAGTATCGATTTTGGTCATTTTGGGCTCAAACTGGGTATGGTTTTTGCACTCTAGTTTTGAATTAAGTATGTTTTTTTTTTAGAAGAAGCTACTTTTTTCATCATTATCGATAAGACCAGCAACTAAAGCCACTCACATTACCTTTAACATCATTCTGAACTAGAGAACTACGGCAGGTCTGAAACAGGATATTAATTTAAGGGTCAGGCCATAAATAGGTTAGAAAAATCACAAACTTTGGTCTTAAATAAGGGTGAAATGCTTTGGGAAGCGGGCCGCACAGCCTCGCCAAATTTTTCAGAAAATAAAAGTATTGTGTGTGAGGCTAAATAAAGCTAAGAGGCAAAAGCATTTGACGCATGTGCCGGGCAGTCCTTCATTCGAATGGATGCGGCACTCCAGGTTTCGTTGTCAGTGACGCAGTATATTTATCTTTTCAAAAAGGACGCCTCATGTGTGACGACAGTTATGCAATTATTCCTCCACTTTCGCTTGATTATTATGAAGCTACAATACAAATGTTATCGGTGTTTTCATGGAAACAAGCTCTTGAAATGCCGCGGTATGTCGAAATACAAATTTTCTTATTTTTAAATGCGCGCTCTAAGAAGTAAAGCTACTGGAATTGTGGCAGAAAATTCGAGAAATTGAAATAAATCTGGAAAATGTCGACACCTACGATATGAAGAAAACCTCACAAAAAAGCCATATTGTGCCTATTTTGCAATATACCAACGTTA